CAGTCAACTTTATTGGAGCGGTGGTGGGGGATCAGGGCCAGCAGGCAGGGCCGGCGCAGGGCTGGTCGCGCGTCAGCGTCCGGGCCGGCTGTAAGGGTTCTGGGCCCGACGTCGTAAGCGGGAGCGGTCTCGTCCCCGCACGGGCCCGGGGCGGCTGGGGCGGCGGCTGCTCTGGAGCCGTGCAGAGCTGGGGGTGCTGGGGCTGCCGGTCTCGGGTACCGGGGAGCCACGGGAGCATCCCGGCACCGACTGTGCGGGGCTGCTGCTCTCAGCCCTGGGTGCTGGTGCGTGGCTCCTGCCACGGCCTCTTGTGCGCCGGCTGTAGGGCTTTTGGGCCCGACGCCGCGAGCGAGAGCGGTCTCGCACGCGGTCGGGCCCAGGTGGGCTGGAGCAGCTGCTGCTCTCAGGTGGTGGGGAGCTGCTTTGAGACGGCCCCGATGCCCCTTGGCCACCAGTGCTGCTGGGGCTGCTACTCTCCAGTTCTGTGAAGCTGGAGGAGGACCCTGATGCCGCCGTGGTGCTGGTGCTGGGGCTGCTGGACTCAGGGACAAGCGAGCTGTGGGACCGTCCCCGTGCCAACTGTCCTGGGGTGCTCCTCTCAGCCCTGCGTGCTGGTGCACTGCTCCTGCCACGGTGTCTTGTGGGCCGGCTGTAGGGTTTTTGGGCACTACGCCGTGAGCGAGCTCGGTCTCGCACACGGTCAGGCCCAGGTGGGCTGGAGCAGCTGCTGCTCTCAGGCACTGGGGAGCTTTGGGATGGCCCCGATGCCGCCTGGAGACCAGTGCTGCTGGGGCTGCTGGTCTCTGGTGCTGGAGAGCTGTGGGATGGCCCCGATCCTGACTGGCTCTCGGTGATGGGACCCGCCACCTCCGAGCTGCCACTGGAGGCTGTAAGGGGGAGCAGGAAGGTCACGGGCACGGCCCCCCAGGCCCGCGGCAGGAGAGGCCAGAACTGTGCCCCCAGCCCCCCTGGAGCAGAGGGGCTCTGCCAAGCCCAGAATGGGCACCCGCTGCCAGGCCTCGCCCGGGGGCACCCGGGTGCTTTGCCTCTTACCGGTGCCCAGGCCAGCACAGCTGTTGCACTCCCATCTGGCTGCGCCGGTCCCCAAGTGGGAGCATCGTCTGTGGGTGCCCTCGGCAGCGCAGGAGCAGCACAGGAGCAGTTGCCAGGGCCTGGGGAAACAAACGGGTGCGTGGCTGTGAGGACAAAGTGACCGCAGCACGGGATTGTCCGGCAGAGCTCTTGTTCTCCGTCCCTCCGCTTCGAGCCCTTGGCGAGACAGAGATCCTGGGCAGAGCCCAGGTTGCCGCTCGGGCAACTTACCCCTGTCGCTTTGTGTGCTGCCTGCCTCCTGGGCAAAGGCACTCACGGGCATCGCAGCGGCTGTGCCTCTCATTTTGCTCATCATCTGCGTGCCCATTCTCCCATGATGGCAATCTGAAGCACAAGGGAAAAATGCTGCGCCCCTGCTGCCCCGGCATAAGGCAGAGGCAGGGCGTCCCTGCTCTTCCCCCCCTGCCCGCTTTCTGACTCCTGCGTGAAGCTGAAGCCCAGGCTGAGGGGAGAGAGCGGAGGGCCGGGAGCGCAGGGGCAGTCCCTGGCACGGCACAACGCTGGCACCCTCCTGTCTGGTGGGGCGGGCAGGACACCAACCTGAATGGGATTCGGATGCCCATGGTGAGCATCTCTTTGAGAAATGCACGCCTATCTCTACAGAAAGGGCACTGGAAGCAAATGCCGGCACGCGCAGCCTGTCCCTGCAGGGGAAACATGAGGAGCAGGCGTGAGGCCTTGGTGCTGCTGGGCGCCCGCCGTGCCCCCCCCGTGGGCGAGGGAAGGGCTCCTACCTGGATGCAGGCCCTGTGGAACCAGGCGTGTTTGCACGCTGGGCACACCATGGTGCCGTAGGACTTCCTGTCCTCCACCGGGTCCAGGCAGATGAGGCAGGCAGTGTTCTCCCCCGGAGCTGCCTCCACTGCCTGCTCTGGGCGGTGCTGCCAGCAGAAGGACCTGGGGAGGCAAGAGGAAAGGGAAGGGTGAGGTGAGGAGTGTTTTGGTGGGAATGATGGGTGATAATGTGTGAAGGAATCCCACCACTCGCTCTGTCCATGACTGTCTGCTAGGAAGTGTCACTGTGGGCTTGTTTTATGTTTGCTTATTGATGCTGTCAGAAAGGGGTATAAAAAAGTGGGTGATCCTCCTGTGGGAGGGCCGGCTACCCTTACCTGTAAAGCCCACAGAACTGCATGACGCATTCCCCCTCCACGGCGCAGGGGAGGTGGAAGCTGCGGTCACAGCCCTCCTGGCAGCAGGTGATGGCGGCCCCGCTCTCGCCACAGACGAAGCAGCGCTGGAAAGAGCAGAGCAGCCCCCATCAGCGGCAGCCTCAGGGCCTCCAGAGCCAGCCCCACGCCTCTGGGCAGGGTGCAGGATGCTGCCCCACTGCTGGGTCAGAGCCCGTGGATGCACCCGGCGCACGAGGCTCCTGTGCTGGGTCTGGGTGGAGGCTCTGTGGAGCTGCTGGGCGCGAGACTTTTGTCCCAGAGCTGCTTGGAAGGGCTGGGATTTCTTTCTTGGGGTCTGGGCTAAGCTCCCACACCGCTCCCGTGGCACCACAGATCTCCCTGAGCTTGTCCAGTCCTTACCTGCTGCGCTGCCTGCTCGACTGTATGGCGAATATCCCTCAGGGGGAATCCCATCAGGCCCACGTTGTGGGACTCTTTCTGGAAGAGGCCGTTGGCAAAAAACTGCGCAGGAAAGACAAGACAAGGAGGTGATGAGGAGGAGAGCGTGGCCGGGGCTGCCTGTCGGCAAGCTGGAGGGAGCCCCGGGGGCACTCACCAGGCAAAAGAGGTGGGCGCAGAGCCCTCGCTTCTGCAGTTTGTACCCGCAGATGTCCGGGTCAGCCTCTGCCCGGCCACACAGCATGCATGCTGGAGGGGAGAGAGCAAACGACAGCGGGAATGAGCAGCTCACCTCTGCAGGGCCGGGGCAAGCGTCCCTGAGGGCTGGCCTTGCAGGCACGGGTGTCCCAGCAGCAGGTGCCCACGGCCCAGCCTGGGCCCCGCTGGCTGCGGCACGGAGGGGCCCTGCCCCGGGGCGCTTGGGGAGCTCCTGCCTGCCCCTGCCACCGCTCTCGGCCCCACGCTGAGCGCCCCGACAGCCCCTCTGCTATGCTGCGGGAGGGATGCTTTGCTCTCACCTGGCTCCATCGAGTCGTCGGCCTCCTGCTTCCTCGCAGTCATCTCACCCATCAACAGTGAGTGCTGGGAGAGTCGCTGTCCCCGCAGTGCTGGGGTGTCTCTCCCAAGTGCTCCTCGGTTGACTCTGGGGGAGAAGCAGGGCGCGGGTCAGCTTGCAGCAGAGGCCCAGCGCCCCCCGGCACGGGGCCGCCCTCCTCCCTCGGCAGCCCCGCACGAGCCCCGTCCACCCCTGCCCTCCCCTCACCTCACCAGGTCGCGCTGAGGCACAGCCTGAGCCCAGCGATGCTTTATGCAGGCTTGTCCCCCGCGGGTCACAATGGCCACAGTGACATCAGCACCGTTGGCCTGGATGCACCCCAACGACGGGCAGGGACGCCCTCAGGAACGTGCCAGCCCCTCGGAGCCGGCCGCCGCCTCACATGGGTGGGTGCGAAGTGCCGAGGCGGGGGCCCGAGCCCTCGGCACCCCCGGGAGCGGGGCGGCTGCTCCTGCAGCCAGCGCAGAGCCGAAAGGCAGGTCCCGCGGGGCAGCCGTCGAGGCTGGCACTGTTGGCCGACCGGTGCTGGTCAGGCCGTGCGAGCCCAGGGCTGCAGCCCTGGCCCAGGCTGCGGCTCTGCTCCTGCCCTCGGCATGGGGAGCGCTGCCGGCAGGTCGGGGAAGGGGATCCTTCCTCTCTGCGCCGCAGCGCTGCGGCTGCACCTGCAGGGCTGCCGCCGGCCCTGGGCTCCCGGCTCCAGGGGACAGAAGCCACCTTGGAGCCCGGCCTGGGCTCGCACAGCCCATCCGCTCCGACGCGGCGCGTGGCCGGGGCACAGCACAGGGCCTCAGGACGGCACCTCAGCGTCGCAGGTGGCCCAACATCGTCATCTCCCGAAGTCGTCCTTAGCGCTTTGGTGACGTGCTGCCTCCAGAAGGAAAAGCAGCGGCAGTGCGAGCTGGGGACTCACGGCGCGAACGGCCTGCCTTCCTCCGTGGCAATAAACTGCCTTTCAGAGACAGTGTGAGCCCGTCCTTGGTGGGCAGGGAAAGTGCAAATGGCCCATGGGAGGAACTCATGTCGGAGAAAGTTTGTGGAGGACTGTCTCCTGTGAGAGGGGGACCACGATGGAGAAGGAGGAACAAGTTCCGGACAGTCCCCTCACCGAAGAGAAGAGAAGTGGCAGCGCTGACTGCACCCCCCATTCCCTGCCCCTGCGCCACTGGGGGAGGAGGTAGAGATATCGGGAGCAGAGCTGAGCCCGGGAAGAAGGGAGGGGTGGGTGGAAGGTGTTCTCAAGATGTGGCGATGCCTCTCACTGTCCTACTCTGTTATGTGTTGTTAGTGTCTGTAATAAATGTATGTTTTTTTCTTCTTCCCCTAACGAGTCTGCCTTTTGCTCGTGATCATAAAAGGGGGATTTTTCCCCCATCCCAGTCCTATCTCAAACCCCAAGCCTGGCTCTCTGTCCCTTCTCATTGCCGGAGGGGAAGGGAGAGAGAGCTGCTGCATTGCGGTTGGCTGCGGACCAGGCCTAAACCACGACACCGTCTCGCCACAGGATACAGTGGGGCAGACTCTGCTCTGGCACACCTCCCCCCTCCTTTCTTCCTCCGTTCCCCCACTGGCCTTGGTGTTCACGCAGCTGCGGCAAGTCCTCCTCACAAGTCCCACTCCTCCTCACCAGGTCCCTTCTTAAATGCGTTATCGCAGAGGTGGAGCTGCTTGGCTCGGCCCTGCTGCAGAGGTAGGGCCTGCTTGGAGCCGGGGGAGCTTGGAGAAGCTTCTCAGAGAGGGCCAGCGCTGTCGCCCCCTCCCCTGCTACCAAAAAACCCCACCGCTCCCTCAAAGCCAGGACAAGCTGGTACAGCAGCAACCACGGTGGGCGACAGGAGCTGGAACTGGGGAAGGGCAATGCCCTTTGGCTACTACTGTAGCAGCACCATCTGCAGCAACCTTCATGTCACACCTCCAGAGGTGACTCTGAGGGGAACTTTGAAAGCAGAGGCGCTTTGCCGCTTGTGCGTTCGAACTTTCCCCGGGGAAGCGGAGCAGGCTGCGGGGCCAGCGAGGCCCGAAGCCCACGGCCATGGCGCTGGGCAGCCGGCCAAGGCCAGCCCGCGAGGAGGGAGGTCTGGGGAAGGTGCTGCCAAGCCCCGGGGAGAAGACAACCCTGTGGGCCCGGCGGAAGCCAACAAAGGAGCGTGGAATCTCCCAGGGCAGAGATTAACAGTCAACTTTATTGGAGCGGTGGTGGGGGATCAGGGCCAGCAGGCAGGGCCGGCGCAGGGCTGGTCGCGCGTCAGCGTCCGGGCCGGCTGTAAGGGTTCTGGGCCCGACGTCGTAAGCGGGAGCGGTCTCGTCCCCGCACGGGCCCGGGGCGGCTGGGGCGGCGGCTGCTCTGGAGCCGTGCAGAGCTGGGGGTGCTGGGGCTGCCGGTCTCGGGTACCGGGGAGCCACGGGAGCATCCCGGCACCGACTGTGCGGGGCTGCTGCTCTCAGCCCTGGGTGCTGGTGCGCGGCTCCTGCCACGGCCTCTTGTGCGCCGGCTGTAGGGCTTTTGGGCCCGACGCCGCGAGCGAGAGCGGTCTCGCACGCGGTCGGGCCCAGGTGGGCTGGAGCAGCTGCTGCTCTCAGGTGGTGGGGAGCTGCTTTGAGACGGCCCCGATGCCCCTTGGCCACCAGTGCTGCTGGGGCTGCTACTCTCCAGTTCTGTGAAGCTGGAGGAGGACCCTGATGCCGCCGTGGTGCTGGTGCTGGGGCTGCTGGACTCAGGGACAAGCGAGCTGTGGGACCGTCCCCGTGCCAACTGTCCTGGGGTGCTCCTCTCAGCCCTGCGTGCTGGTGCACTGCTCCTGCCACGGTGTCTTGTGGGCCGGCTGTAGGGTTTTTGGGCACTACGCCGTGAGCGAGCTCGGTCTCGCACACGGTCAGGCCCAGGTGGGCTGGAGCAGCTGCTGCTCTCAGGCACTGGGGAGCTTTGGGATGGCCCCGATGCCGCCTGGAGACCAGTGCTGCTGGGGCTGCTGGTCTCTGGTGCTGGAGAGCTGTGGGATGGCCCCGATCCTGACTGGCTCTCGGTGATGGGACCCGCCACCTCCGAGCTGCCACTGGAGGCTGTAAGGGGGAGCAGGAAGGTCACGGGCACGGCCCCCCAGGCCCGCGGCAGGAGAGGCCAGAACTGTGCCCCCAGCCCCCCTGGAGCAGAGGGGCTCTGCCAAGCCCAGAATGGGCACCCGCTGCCAGGCCTCGCCCGGGGGCACCCGGGTGCTTTGCCTCTTACCGGTGCCCAGGCCAGCACAGCTGTTGCACTCCCATCTGGCTGCGCCGGTCCCCAAGTGGGAGCATCGTCTGTGGGTGCCCTCGGCAGCGCAGGAGCAGCACAGGAGCAGTTGCCAGGGCCTGGGGAAACAAACGGGTGCGTGGCTGTGAGGACAAAGTGACCGCAGCACGGGATTGTCCGGCAGAGCTCTTGTTCTCCGTCCCTCCGCTTCGAGCCCTTGGCGAGACAGAGATCCTGGGCAGAGCCCAGGTTGCCGCTCGGGCAACTTACCCCTGTCGCTTTGTGTGCTGCCTGCCTCCTGGGCAAAGGCACTCACGGGCATCGCAGCGGCTGTGCCTCTCATTTTGCTCATCATCTGCGTGCCCATTCTCCCATGATGGCAATCTGAAGCACAAGGGAAAAATGCTGCGCCCCTGCTGCCCCGGCATAAGGCAGAGGCAGGGCGTCCCTGCTCTTCCCCCCCTGCCCGCTTTCTGACTCCTGCGTGAAGCTGAAGCCCAGGCTGAGGGGAGAGAGCGGAGGGCCGGGAGCGCAGGGGCAGTCCCTGGCACGGCACAACGCTGGCACCCTCCTGTCTGGTGGGGCGGGCAGGACACCAACCTGAATGGGATTCGGATGCCCATGGTGAGCATCTCATTGAGAAATGCACGCCTATCTCTACAGAAAGGGCACTGGAAGCAAATGCCGGCACGCGCAGCCTGTCCCTGCAGGGGAAACATGAGGAGCAGGCGTGAGGCCTTGGTGCTGCTGGGCGCCCGCCGTGCCCCCCCCGTGGGCGAGGGAAGGGCTCCTACCTGGATGCAGGCCCTGTGGAACCAGGCGTGTTTGCACGCTGGGCACACCATGGTGCCGTAGGACTTCCTGTCCTCCACCGGGTCCAGGCAGATGAGGCAGGCAGTGTTCTCCCCCGGAGCTGCCTCCACTGCCTGCTCTGGGCGGTGCTGCCAGCAGAAGGACCTGGGGAGGCAAGAGGAAAGGGAAGGGTGAGGTGAGGAGTGTTTTGGTGGGAATGATGGGTGATAATGTGTGAAGGAATCCCACCACTCGCTCTGTCCATGACTGTCTGCTAGGAAGTGTCACTGTGGGCTTGTTTTATGTTTGCTTATTGATGCTGTCAGAAAGGGGTATAAAAAAGTGGGTGATCCTCCTGTGGGAGGGCCGGCTACCCTTACCTGTAAAGCCCACAGAACTGCATGACGCATTCCCCCTCCACGGCGCAGGGGAGGTGGAAGCTGCGGTCACAGCCCTCCTGGCAGCAGGTGATGGCGGCCCCGCTCTCGCCACAGACGAAGCAGCGCTGGAAAGAGCAGAGCAGCCCCCATCAGCGGCAGCCTCAGGGCCTCCAGAGCCAGCCCCACGCCTCTGGGCAGGGTGCAGGATGCTGCCCCACTGCTGGGTCAGAGCCCGTGGATGCACCCGGCGCACGAGGCTCCTGTGCTGGGTCTGGGTGGAGGCTCTGTGGAGCTGCTGGGCGCGAGACTTTTGTCCCAGAGCTGCTTGGAAGGGCTGGGATTTCTTTCTTGGGGTCTGGGCTAAGCTCCCACACCGCTCCCGTGGCACCACAGATCTCCCTGAGCTTGTCCAGTCCTTACCTGCTGCGCTGCCTGCTCGACTGTATGGCGAATATCCCTCAGGGGGAATCCCATCAGGCCCACGTTGTGGGACTCTTTCTGGAAGAGGCCGTTGGCAAAAAACTGCGCAGGAAAGACAAGACAAGGAGGTGATGAGGAGGAGAGCGTGGCCGGGGCTGCCTGTCGGCAAGCTGGAGGGAGCCCCGGGGGCACTCACCAGGCAAAAGAGGTGGGCGCAGAGCCCTCGCTTCTGCAGTTTGTACCCGCAGATGTCCGGGTCAGCCTCTGCCCGGCCACACAGCATGCATGCTGGAGGGGAGAGAGCAAACGACAGCGGGAATGAGCAGCTCACCTCTGCAGGGCCGGGGCAAGCGTCCCTGAGGGCTGGCCTTACAGGCACGGGTGTCCCAGCAGCAGGTGCCCACGGCCCAGCCTGGGCCCCGCTGGCTGCGGCACGGAGGGGCCCTGCCCCGGGGCGCTTGGGGAGCTCCTGCCTGCCCCTGCCACCGCTCTCGGCCCCACGCTGAGCGCCCCGACAGCCCCTCTGCTATGCTGCGGGAGGGATGCTTTGCTCTCACCTGGCTCCATCGAGTCGTCGGCCTCCTGCTTCCTCGCAGTCATCTCACCCATCAACAGTGAGTGCTGGGAGAGTCGCTGTCCCCGCAGTGCTGGGGTGTCTCTCCCAAGTGCTCCTCGGTTGACTCTGGGGGAGAAGCAGGGTGCGGGTCAGCTTGCAGCAGAGGCCCAGCGCCCCCCGGCACGGGGCCGCCCTCCTCCCTCGGCAGCCCCGCACGAGCCCCGTCCACCCCTGCCCTCCCCTCACCTCACCAGGTCGCGCTGAGGCACAGCCTGAGCCCAGCGATGCTTTATGCAGGCTTGTCCCCCGCGGGTCACAATGGCCACAGTGACATCAGCACCGTTGGCCTGGATGCACCCCAACGACGGGCAGGGACGCCCTCAGGAACGTGCCAGCCCCTCGGAGCCGGCCGCCGCCTCACAGGGGTGGGTGCGAAGTGCCGAGGCGGGGGCCCGAGCCCTCGGCACCCCCGGGAGCGGGGCGGCTGCTCCTGCAGCCAGCGCAGAGCCGAAAGGCAGGTCCCGCGGGGCAGCCGTCGAGGCTGGCACTGTTGGCCGACCGGTGCTGGTCAGGCCGTGCGAGCCCAGGGCTGCAGCCCTGGCCCAGGCTGCGGCTCTGCTCCTGCCCTCGGCATGGGGAGCGCTGCCGGCAGGTCGGGGAAGGGGATCCTTCCTCTCTGCGCCGCAGCGCTGCGGCTGCACCTGCAGGGCTGCCGCCGGCCCTGGGCTCCCGGCTCCAGGGGACAGAAGCCACCTTGGAGCCCGGCCTGGGCTCGCACAGCCCATCCGCTCCGACGCGGCGCGTGGCCGGGGCACAGCACGGGGCCTCAGGACGGCACCTCAGCGTCGCAGGTGGCCCAACATCGTCATCTCCCGAAGTCGTCCTTAGCGCTTTGGTGACGTGCTGCCTCCAGAAGGAAAAGCAGCGGCAGCGCGAGCTGGGGACTCACGGCGCGAACGGCCTGCCTTCCTCCGTGGCAATAAACTGCCTTTCAGAGACAGTGTGAGCCCGTCCTTGGTGGGCAGGGAAAGTGCAAATGGCCCATGGGAGGAACTCATGTCGGAGAAAGTTTGTGGAGGACTGTCTCCTGTGAGAGGGGGACCACGATGGAGAAGGAGGAACAAGTTCCGGACAGTCCCCTCACCGAAGAGAAGAGAAGTGGCAGCGCTGACTGCACCCCCCATTCCCTGCCCCTGCGCCACTGGGGGAGGAGGTAGAGATATCGGGAGCAGAGCTGAGCCCGGGAAGAAGGGAGGGGTGGGTGGAAGGTGTTCTCAAGATGTGGCGATGCCTCTCACTGTCCTACTCTGTTATGTGTTGTTAGTGTCTGTAATAAATGTATGTTTTTTTCTTCTTCCCCTAACGAGTCTGCCTTTTGCTCGTGATCATAAAAGGGGGATTTTTCCCCATCCCAGTCCTATCTCAAACCCCAAGCCTGGCTCTCTGTCCCTTCTCATTGCCGGAGGGGAAGGGAGAGAGAGCTGCTGCATTGCGGTTGGCTGCGGACCAGGCCTAAACCACGACACCGTCTCGCCACAGGATACAGTGGGGCAGACTCTGCTCCGGCACACCTTCCCCCTCCTTTCTTCCTCCGTTCCCCCACTGGCCTTGGTGTTGTGAGAAACTATGAGTTAAGTATATTGTTTATTAAGACTTAAAGATAATAAGAGGAGGGGAGATCGTTCATGTTGTACATATAAAGGGACACCAGCGAGGTAGAAGTTATCAAGGTAGGGGAAATAATGCAGCTGATACAGAAGCAAAACGAGTGGCAGGCAATTATAATACAATTTTGACGATACAACAAGTATCTGTTAATAAAAATTTGAGCTTTGAGTCTGCAGAAAAGGAAAAACTAGAACAAATGGGAGCTAAGGAACAAGAGGGTAAATACATATTGCCAGATGGGAGGGAAGTCTTGCCAAAAGGCATAGCACTCGAAATATTTTCAAAAATACACAGCAAAACACACTGGGGAACCCAGGCATTATTTGATCATTTCAATCAACAGTTTGCCTGTATAGGCGTATATAACATAGCAAAGACAATCACGGCAGCCTGTGAGACCTGTCAAAGGTTAATCGAAACAACATGAGACAAAAACCTCTTGGAGGACGTTCCCCAGCATACAGACCTTTCTCACACATACAAGTGGATTTTACTGAACTACCTAGGGTAGGGCGTTATAAATATTTGTTAGTAATGGTGGATCATTTAACACATTATGTTGAGGCTTTTCCTACCTCCAGGGCAACTGCTAACCAAGTTACTAAAGTATTACTTGAACACATTATACCTCGATATGGAGTGCCTGAAATAATCGACTCGGACAGAGGAACACACTTTGTGTCAAAAATTGTTAGAGATCTAACCGAAAGCTTGGGTATTAAGTGGGAATACCATACACCATGGCATCCACAAAGTTCGGGAAAAGTTGAAAGGATGAATGGAGAAATCAAAACTATTCTGACTAAATTAATGATAGAAACCAAATTGTCATGGATTAAGTGCATACCCATGGCACTATTAATTCTCAGAACCAGACCCCGAGCGGATGTGGGAATATCAGCGTTTGAAATGGTGTATGGAATGTCCTATAGAATTGAAAATCCACAAACAAATGTTTTAATTCGAGACCATGTGATTAATGAATATGTTTCACAATTAGCAGAACATCGTAATAAGCTTTGGGAACATGGACTGATTGTGCAACGACCCCCGTTGGACTTAAAAATTCATAATGTTAAACCTGGGGATTGGATATTGGTTAAAGTACGGAAGGAAGAAACCCTAAAACCCAATTGGGAGGGACCTTATCTTGTTTTACTAACAACAGAAACAGCTGTCCGGACTGCTGAGCGTGGATGGACTCATGCCAGTCGCATTAAAGGCCCCGTGACGAAACCTCAATGGAAAGTAATTAGTACTCCAGGTGATACCAAGATAAACCTGAAGAGATAATGATAAAGACTTTGTTTGAGCATTTTGCCGCATTGCCTTTTGGTATAAAGTGTATATTGCTGTTTTTACTTGCAATAATAATTTCCTTGTTCATTTATTATATATGGAAACGCACTAAGTGGGGGTAGAGAAAATTGTTAGAATATAGAAAATATACTGATATAAATAATGTATGCATTTTAAATATACGAGTTAGGTGTAATCATTTAAACTGTAACTGTTACCCATTTGCTTGTTTGCTTGTTTTAGGTGCAAGGCATACCAGGATAAATGGTAGACATAATGTGAGAAATTAGACAAGAAATTATTTGGGGAATCCTATGAGTGGTGGGAAAGTTTTGCCAAAGAAATAAACCCTCAATATTATCGGTACCAATCTGACGAACCGGTCCCCTTTGTAGCTGAAATTTTGGCTATAAAGTGCAGAAGGGAAGTACTAACTGTGTCTTGCTTTGTCCCATTAGTTAAAGCTGCAAAGTGGGAAGTCTATATAAACAGGCAGAAAGCCCGAAACAGCTGTTCTCCTGAAGAATTCCCTTGCTGCCGAGAAGACGGTACACCCCGTGACTCGAAGCAACCGAGTCGAAGGGCGAGGCAGAGGAGGAACAAACCATGGAGAAAAGAATCAGAACAATGGGACGCAAAAGCAGCAATGGTCTAACTTCCCCAGGACTGGTAAAAATACACCTAAATTGGCAAAAGTGATAAACACCCTTTTTCCTGGTATACCGTTAGTCTTGTTACTGATAATAGCCCAGGCAAAAGGAGGAAACCCTCATGAACCTATGAATTGGACAATAACAAACATACAACATCCAAATAATCCAATTCAAGCACGGGCTACACCGGGTACATTTAGTTTTAATGTGAGTTTGCGCGATCTAATTACTGGACACCGTAAAGACAAAGCTGATCTGTGCAAACCAATCTACATATGTCCCGCGTCCAATCCTGGAAGAAGTTATTGTAACCTTCCAGGTCACTATTACTGTGGCTATTGGGGATGCGAAACATGGGCCTCTGAGTGGTCCACATCTGGAGACGAATATCTAGAAATAAAGTGGTCACCGGAAAAGTGTAAGAGACCTCACATAGGAAGCAATGGACGTGTATTCGGACACTGTAACAATGACGGATATTGTAAAAGTATTAACATAACAATTAAAACCCCAGACAACGATCAATGGTTAGCAGGAAAATATTGGGCAATTAGATATTGGGAACCAGAGGGAGACAGAGGAGGAATCTTTCAAATAATGAAAAGACCGATGTCTCACGATCCCTTACCAGTAGGACCAAACTCAGTCCTAAATTCACCCATTTTTCCTAAGAAAAGGATGGTTCCCACAAGTGTCACAACCATTCGTCCAAACTTTTTATCAGTAACAGATAGAACAACTAAAGACATGGTGACTGAGTACTCTTTAGTTAGGGATTCAGGAGTGTCAGAATCTAAAGACCCCTTATGGGATTTAATGCGAGCCTCTTATCGTACCCTTAATGAAAGTAAACCAAATTTAACTAAGGAATGCTGGTTATGTTACAATATTAGACCACCATATTTTGAGGCAATCGGAATACCAGATAGGATTCAATGGTCTAGTGGTTCAAACCCACAAGAATGCCAATGGGATGACCAGAGGAACCATACACAAGGAATTACTATTCAATTAGTAACAGGTCAAGGAAAATGTATAGGTACAGTTCCCAAAAGGTATCAGCCCTTGTGCAACCAAACAATCACTAACACCAATATAAAAAGACACAAGGATCAAAATGACAAATGGGCTATCCCGACACCAGGAGCTAAGTGGGTTTGTTCAGACATCGGAGTAACGCCTTGCCTATCCTTAAACGTGTTTAATCAATCTCAGTTTTGCATACAGGTGATTATTGTTCCTCGTCTGATCTATCACACCTCTGAGGAGGCGTTACGCCACTTTGAAGGAGACCTGAATAGACAAAAACGAGAGCCAATTACAGTGATAACCCTAGCTACTCTGCTGATAGCGAGCGGAGTTGGAGCAGGTACAGGCATAGCCTCCCTAGTAAAAGGTCAGGAATTACAAAGTTTGCAGATGGCTGTAGATGAGGATTTAGCAAAAATAGAACGATCAATACAAAATTTAGCCACTTCAGTAAAGTCTTTATCAGAGGTAGTGCTGCAAAATAGAAGAGGATTAGACCTATTGTTCTTAAAGGAAGGAGGGTTATGTGTAGCTCTAAATGAAGAATGTTGTTCTTTTGCTGACCATATGGGAATAGTCCAGGACACCATGTCTGAACTCCGGAAAAGGTTAGATCAACGTAAAAAGGATCGTGAGACGGGTAGATCGTGGTATGAAAACTGGTTTAATGTTTCACCTTGGCTAACTACTTTGTTATCTGCTTTAGCAGGACCGCTTATTATATTGATTCTGGGACTTATATTTGGACCTTGTATAATACGCTATATTTTACGCTTTATTAGAGAACGGTTCGACATAGCTAAATTACTTATTTTAAGGTCTGAGGTAAAATATAAAAGTGTATCTATTAATGAAGAAATAGATGATGAAGATTGTTGTGAATGCGTTATACCATGTAAGAATTATGATTGTAATTGTGAGATATTATCCTGTGAATGTTGTGATAAATGCTGGAATTGTGGAAGAAGGCTTGCTTGCAGTGCTAGGAATGAAAGTAGCGTCTAATAAACAATAGTAGGATAAAAAGAAAAAGGGGGGATTGTGAGAAACTATGAGTTAAGTATATTGTTTATTAAGACTTAAAGATAATAAGAGGAGGGGAGATCGTTCATGGAATTATGTGTTGCTTGTGCACACATGGCCGACGCTGCAGATCACAAGATATCCCAAGAAAACAAACAGAAGAAAAACAACTCCATATAAGGATATCATCGACCACCAGAAGGCAGAAAACGACCCCCTAACAACAACTAGCACATGCGCAGAGTATCTCCACCACTCCAGACCGCAGCAACAGTTGAAACATAGTATCTTCACCACTCCATGAACGCGGGAAAAAAAATGTATAAAAAGGGACAGTTTGTTCTCCTCAGTACGGCAGTTGGTGGAGCACAGACTGCCCTGTCGTCCAGCGCTGTTTTTGCTCATATTCTACTTGCTATAATTAATAAAATTTCAATTGGAGTTCGACCCATTGTAGTCTCGATTTATAACAGTGTTCACGCAGCTGCGGCAAGTCCTCCTCACAAGTCCCACTCCTCCTCACCAGGTCCCTTCTTAAATGCGTTATCGCAGAGGTGGAGCTGCTTGGCTCGGCCCTGCTGCAGAGGTAGGGCCTGCTTGGAGCCGGGGGAGCTTGGAGAAGCTTCTCAGAGAGGGCCAGCGCTGTCGCCCCCTCCCCTGCTACCAAAAAACCCCACCGCTCCCTCAAAGCCAGGACAAGCTGGTACAGCAGCAACCACGGTGGGCGACAGGAGCTGGAACTGGGGAAGGGCAATGCCCTTTGGCTACTACTGTAGCAGCACCATCTGCAGCAACCTTCATGTCACACCTCCAGAGGTGACTCTGAGGGGAACTTTGAAAGCAGAGGCGCTTTGCCGCTTGTGCGTTCGAACTTTCCCCGGGGAAGCGGAGCAGGCTGCGGGGCCAGCGAGGCCCGAAGCCCACGGCCATGGCGCTGGGCAGCCGGCCAAGGCCAGCCCGCGAGGAGGGAGGTCTGGGGAAGGTGCTGCCAAGCCCCGGGGAGAAGACAACCCTGTGGGCCCGGCGGAAGCCAACAAAGGAGCGTGGAATCTCCCAGGGCAGAGATTAACAGTCAACTTTATTGGAGCGGTGGTGGGGGATCAGGGCCAGCAGGCAGGGCCGGCGCAGGGCTGGTCGCGCGTCAGCGTCCGGGCCGGCTGTAAGGGTTCTGGGCCCGACGTCGTAAGCGGGAGCGGTCTCGTCCCCGCACGGGCCCGGGGCGGCTGGGGCGGCGGCTGCTCTGGAGCCGTGCAGAGCTGGGGGTGCTGGGGCTGCCGGTCTCGGGTACCGGGGAGCCACGGGAGCATCCCGGCACCGACTGTGCGGGGCTGCTGCTCTCAGCCCTGGGTGCTGGTGCGCGGCTCCTGCCACGGCCTCTTGTGCGCCGGCTGTAGGGCTTTTGGGCCCGACGCCGCGAGCGAGAGCGGTCTCGCACGCGGTCGGGCCCAGGTGGGCTGGAGCAGCTGCTGCTCTCAGGTGGTGGGGAGCTGCTTTGAGACGGCCCCGATGCCCCTTGGCCACCAGTGCTGCTGGGGCTGCTACTCTCCAGTTCTGTGAAGCTGGAGGAGGACCCTGATGCCGCCGTGGTGCTGGTGCTGGGGCTGCTGGACTCAGGGACAAGCGAGCTGTGGGACCGTCCCCGTGCCAACTGTCCTGGGGTGCTCCTCTCAGCCCTGCGTGCTGGTGCACTGCTCCTGCCACGGTGTCTTGTGGGCCGGCTGTAGGGTTTTTGGGCACTACGCCGTGAGCGAGCTCGGTCTCGCACACGGTCAGGCCCAGGTGGGCTGGAGCAGCTGCTGCTCTCAGGCACTGGGGAGCTTTGGGATGGCCCCGATGCCGCCTGGAGACCAGTGCTGCTGGGGCTGCTGGTCTCTGGTGCTGGAGAGCTGTGGGACTGGCCCCGATCCTGACTGGCTCTCGGTGATGGGACCCGCCACCTCCGAGCTGCCACTGGAGGCTGTAAGGGGGAGCAGGAAGGTCACGGGCACGGCCCCCCAGGCCCGCGGCAGGAGAGGCCAGAACTGTGCCCCCAGCCCCCCTGGAGCAGAGGGGCTCTGCCAAGCCCAGAATGGGCACCCGCTGCCAGGCCTCGCCCTGGGGGCACCCGGGTGCTTTGCCTCTTACCGGTGCCCAGGCCAGCACAGCTGTTGCACTCCCATCTGGCTGCGCCGGTCCCCAAGTGGGAGCATCGTCTGTGGGTGCCCTCGGCAGCGCAGGAGCAGCACAGGAGCAGTTGCCAGGGCCTGGGGAAACAAACGGGTGCGTGGCTGTGAGGACAAAGTGACCGCAGCACGGGATTGTCCGGCAGAGCTCTTGTTCTCCGTCCCTCCGCTTCGAGCCCTTGGCGAGACAGAGATCCTGGGCAGAGCCCAGGTTGCCGCTCGGGCAACTTACCCCTGTCGCTTTGTGTGCTGCCTGCCTCCTGGGCAAAGGCACTCACGGGCATCGCAGCGGCTGTGCCTCTCATTTTGTTCATCATCTGCGTGCCCATTCTCCCATGATGGCAATCTGAAGCACAAGGGAAAAATGCTGCGCCCCTGCTGCCCCGGCATAAGGCAGAGGCAGGGCGTCCCTGCTCTTCCCCCCCTGCCCGCTTTCTGACTCCTGCGTGAAGCTGAAGCCCAGGCTGAGGGGAGAGAGCGGAGGGCCGGGAGCGCAGGGGCAGTCCCTGGCACGGCACAACGCTGGCACCCTCCTGTCTGGTGGGGCGGGCAGGACACCAACCTGAATGGGATTCGGATGCCCATGGTGAGCATCTCTTGAGAAATGCACGCCTATCTCTACAGAAAGGGCACTGGAAGCAAATGCCGGCGCGCGCAGCCTGTCCCTGCAGGGGAAACATGAGGAGCAGGCGTGAGGCCTTGGTGCTGCTGGGCGCCCGCCGTGCCCCCCCCGTGGGCGAGGGAAGGGCTCCTACCTGGATGCAGGCCCTGTGGAACCAGGCGTGTTTGCACGCTGGGCACACCATGGTGCCGTAGGACTTCCTGTCCTCAACAGGGTCCAGGCAGATGAGGCAGGCAGTGTTCTCCCCCGGAGCCGCCTCCACTGCCTGCTCTGGGCGGTGCTGCCAGCAGAAGGACCTGGGGAGGCAAGAGGAAAGGGAAGGGTGAGGTGAGGAGTGTTTTGGTGGGAATGATGGGTGATAATGTGTGAAGGAATCCCACCACTCGCTCTGTCCATGACTGTCTGCTAGGAAGTGTCACTGTGGGCTTGTTTTATGTTTGCTTATTGATGCTGTCAGAAAGGGGTATAAAAAAGTGGGTGATCCTCCTGTGGGAGGGCCGGCTACCCTTACCTGTAAAGCCCACAGAACTGCATGACGCATTCCCCCTCCACGGCGCAGGGGAGGTGGAAGCTGCGGTCACAGCCCTCCTGGCAGCAGGTGATGGCGGCCCCGCTCTCGCCACAGACGAAGCAGCGCTGGAAAGAGCAGAGCAGCCCCCATCAGCGGCAGCCTCAGGGCCTCCAGAGCCAGCCCCACGCCTCCTGGGCAGGGCGCAGGATGCTGCCCCACTGACTGGGTCAGAGCCCGTGGATGCACCCGGCGCACGAGGCTCCTGTGCTGGGTCTGGGTGGAGGCTCTGTGGAGCTGCTGGGCGCGAGACTTTTGTCCCAGAGCTGCTTGGAAGGGCTGGGATTTCTTTCTTGGGGTCTGGGCTAAGCTCCCACACCGCTCCCGTGGCACCACAGATCTCCCTGAGCTTGTCCAGTCCTTACCTGCTGCTGATGCCTGCTCGACTGTATGGCGAATATCCCTCAGGGGGAATCCCATCAGGCCCACGTTGTGGGACTCTTTCTGGAAGAGGCTGTTGGCAAAAAACTGCGCAGGAAAGACAAGACAAGGAGGTGATGAGGAGGAGAGCGTGGCCGGGGCTGCCTGTCGGCAAGCTGGAGGGAGCCCCGGGGGCACTCACCAGGCAAAAGAGGTGGGCGCAGAGCCCTCGCTTCTGCAGTTTGTACCCGCAGATGTCCGGGTCAGCCTCTGCCCGGCCACACAGCATGCATGCTGGAGGGGAGAGAGCAAACGACAGCGGGAATGAGCAGCTCACCTCTGCAGGGCCGGGGCAAGCGTCCCTGAGGGCTGGCCTTGCAGGCACGGGTGTCCCAGCAGCAGGTGCCCACGGCCCAGCCTGGGCCCCGCTGGCTGCGGCACGGAGGGGCCCTGCCCCGGGGCGCTTGGGGAGCTCCTGCCTGCCCCTGCCACCGCTCTCGGCCCCACGCTGAGCGCCCCGACAGCCCCTCTGCTATGCTGCGGGAGGGATGCTTTGCTCTCACCTGGCTCCATCGAGTCGTCGGCCTCCTGCTTCCTCGCAGTCATCTCACCCATCAACAGTGAGTGCTGGGAGAGTCGCTGTCCCCGCAGTGCTGGGGTGTCTCTCCCAAGTGCTCCTCGGCTGACTCTGGGGGAGAAGCAGGGCGCGGGTCAGCTTGCAGCAGAGGCCCAGCGCCCCCCGGCACGGGGCCGCCCTCCTCCCTCGGCAGCCCCGCACGAGCCCCGTCCACCCCTGCCCTCCCCTCACCTCACCAGGTCGCACTGAGGCACAGCCTGAGCCCAGCGATGCTTTATGCAGGCTTGTCCCCCGCGGGTCACAATGGCCACAGTGACATCAGCACCGTTGGCCTGGATGCACCCCAACGACGGGCAGGGACGCCCTCAGGAACGTGCCAGCCCCTCGGAGCCGGCCGCCGCCTCACAGGGGTGGGTGCGAAGTGCCGAGGCGGGGGCCCGAGCCCTCGGCACCCCCGGGAGCGGGGCGGCTGCTCCTGCAGCCAGCGCAGAGCCGAAAGGCAGGTCCCGCGGGGCAGCCGTCGAGGGTGGCACTGTTGGCCGACCGGTGCTGGTCAGGCCGTGCGAGCCCAGGGCTGCAGCCCTGGCCCAGGCTGCGGCTCTGCTCCTGCCCTCGGCATGGGGAGCGCTGCCGGCAGGTCAGGGAAGGGGATCCTTCCTCTCTGCGCCGCAGCGCTGCGGCTGCACCTGCAGGGCTGCCGCCGGCCCTGGGCTCCCGGCTCCAGGGGACAGAAGCCACCTTGGAGCCCGGCCTGGGCTCGCACAGCCCATCCGCTCCGACGCGGCGCGTGGCCGGGGCACAGCACGGGGCCTCAGGACGGCACCTCAGCGTCGCAGGTGGCCCAACATCGTCATTCTCCCGAAGTCGTCCTTAGCGCTTTGGTGACGTGCTGCCTCCAGAAGGAAAAGCAGCGGCAGCGCGAGCTGGGGACTCACGGCGCAAACGGCCTGCCTTCCTCCGTGGCAATAAACTGCCTTTCAGAGACAGTGTGAGCCCGTCCTTGGTGGGCAGGGAAAGTGCAAATGGCCCATGGGAGGAACTCATGTCGGAGAAAGTTTGTGGAGGACTGTCTCCTGTGAGAGGGGGACCACGATGGAGAAGGAGGAACAAGTTCCGGACAGTCCCCTCACCTGAAGAGAGAAGTGGCAGCGCTGACTGCACCCCCCATTCCCTGCCCCTGCGCCACTGGGGGAGGAGGTAGAGATATCGGGAGCAGAGCTGAGCCCGGGAAGAAGGGAGGGGTGGGTGGAAGGTGTTCTCAAGATGTGGCGATGCCTCTCACTGTCCTACTCTGTTATGTGTTGTTAGTGTCTGTAATAAATGTATGTTCTTTTCTTCTTCCCCTAACGAGTCTGCCTTTTGCTCGTGATCATAAAAGGGGGATTTTTCCCCCATCCCAGTCCTATCTCAAACCCCAAGCCTGGCTCTCTGTCCCTTCTCATTGCCGGAGGGGAAGGGAGAGAGAGCTGCTGCATTGCGGTTGGCTGCGGACCAGGCCTAAACCACGACACCGTCTCGCCACAGGATACAGTGGGGCAGACTCTGCTCTGGCACACCTCCCCCCTCCTTTCTTCCTCCGTTCCCCCACTGGCCTTGGTGTTCACGCAGCTGCGGCAAGTCCTCCTCACAAGTCCCACTCCTCCTCACCAGGTCCCTTCTTAAATGCGTTATCGCAGAGGTGGAGCTGCTTGGCTCGGCCCTGCTGCAGAGGTAGGGCCTGCTTGGAGCCGGGGGAGCTTGGAGAAGCTTCTCAGAGAGGGCCAGCGCTGTCGCCCCCTCCCCTGCTACCAAAAAACCCCACCGCTCCCTCAAAGCCAGGACAAGCTGGTACAGCAGCAACCACGGTGGGCGACAGGAGCTGGAACTGGGGAAGGGCAATGCCCTTTGGCTACTACTGTAGCAGCACCATCTGCAGCAACCTTCATGTCACACCTCCAGAGGTGACTCTGAGGGGAACTTTGAAAGCAGAGGCGCTTTGCCGCTTGTGCGTTCGAACTTTCCCCGGGGAAGCGGAGCAGGCTGCGGGGCCAGCGAGGCCCGAAGCCCACGGCCATGGCGCTGGGCAGCCGGCCAAGGCCAGCCCGCGAGGAGGGAGGTCTGGGGAAGGTGCTGCCAAGCCCCGGGGAGAAGACAACCCTGTGGGCCCGGCGGAAGCCAACAAAGGAGCGTGGAATCTCCCAGGGCAGAGATTAACAGTCAACTTTATTGGAGCGGTGGTGGGGGATCAGGGCCAGCAGGCAGGGCCGGCGCAGGGCTGGTCGCGCGTCAGCGTCCGGGCCGGCTGTAAGGGTTCTGGGCCCGACGTCGTAAGCGGGAACGGTCTCGTCCCCGCACGGGCCCGGGGCGGCTGGGGCGGCGGCTGCTCTGGAGCCGTGCAGAGCTGGGGGTGCTGGGGCTGCCGGTCTCGGGTACCGGGGAGCCACGGGAGCATCCCGGCACCGACTGTGCGGGGCTGCTGCTCTCAGCCCTGGGTGCTGGTGCGCGGCTCCTGCCACGGCCTCTTGTGCGCCGGCTGTAGGGCTTTTGGGCCCGACGCCGCGAGCGAGAGCGGTCTCGCACGCGGTCGGGCCCAGGTGGGCTGGAGCAGCTGCTGCTCTCAGGTGGTGGGGAGCTGCTTTGAGACGGCCCCGATGCCCCTTGGCCACCAGTGCTGCTGGGGCTGCTACTCTCCAGTTCTGTGAAGCTGGAGGAGGACCCTGATGCCGCCGTGGTGCTGGTGCTGGGGCTGCTGGACTCAGGGACAAGCGAGCTGTGGGACCGTCCCCGTGCCAACTGTCCTGGGGTGCTCCTCTCAGCCCTGCGTGCTGGTGCACTGCTCCTGCCACGGTGTCTTGTGGGCCGGCTGTAGGGTTTTTGGGCACTACGCCGTGAGCGAGCACGGTCTCGCACACGGTCAGGCCCAGGTGGGCTGGAGCAGCTGCTGCTCTCAGGCACTGGGGAGCTTTGGGATGGCCCCGATGCCGCCTGGAGACCAGTGCTGCTGGGGCTGCTGGTCTCTGGTGCTGGAGAGCTGTGGGACGGCCCCGATCCTGACTGGCTCTCGGTGATGGGACCCGCAACCTCCGAGCTGCCACTGGAGGCTGTAAGGGGGAGCAGGAAGGTCACGGGCACGGCCCCCCAGGCCCGTGGCAGGAGAGGCCAGAGCGGTGCCCCCAGCCCCCCTGGAGCAGAGGGGCTCTGCCAAGCCCAGAATGGGCACCCGCTGCCAGGCCTCGCCTGGGGGCACCCGGGTGCTTTGCCTCTTACCGGTGCCCAGGCCAGCACAGCTGTCGCACTCCCATCTGGCCGTGCCGGTCCCCAAGTGGGAGCATCGTCTGTGGGTGCCCTCGGCAGCGCAGGAGCAGCACAGGAGCAGTTGCCAGGGCCTGGGGAAACAAACGGGTGCGTGGCTGTGAGGACAAAGTGACCGCAGCACGGGATTGTCCGGCAGAGCTCTTGTTCTCCGCCCCTCCGCTTCGAGCCCTTGGCGAGACAGAGATCCTGGGCAGAGCCCAGGTTGCCGCTCGGGCAACTTACCCCTGTCGCTTTGTGTGCTGCCTGCCTCCTGGGCAAAGGCACTCACGGGCATCGCAGCGGCTGTGCCTCTCATTTTGTTCATCATCTGCGTGCCCATTCTCCCATGATGGCAATCTGAAGCACAAGGGAAAAATGCTGCGCCCCTGCTGCCCCGGCATAAGGCAGAGGCAGGGCGTCCCTGCTCTTCCCCCCCTGCCCGCTTTCTGACTCCTGCGTGAAGCTGAAGCCCAGGCTGAGGGGAGAGAGCGGAGGGCCGGGAGCGCAGGGGCAGTCCCTGGCACGGCACAACGCTGGCACCCTCCTGTCTGGTGGGGCGGGCAGGACACCAACCTGAAGATGATTCGGATACCCATGTTGAACATCTCCATGAGAAATGCATGCTCATCTCTACAGAGAGGGCACTGGAAGAAAATGCCGGCGCACGCAGCCTGTCCCTGCAGGGGAAACATGAGGAGCAGGCGTGAGGCCTTGGTGCTGCTGAGCGCCCGCCGTGCCCCCCCCGTGGGCGAGGGAAGGGCTCCTACCTGGATGCAGGCCCTGTGGAACCAGGCGTGTTTGCACGCTGGGCACACCATGGTGCCGTAGGACTTCCTGTCCTCAACAGGGTCCAGGCAGATGAGGCAGGCAGTGTTCTCCCCCGGAGCCGCCTCCACTGCCTGCTCTGGGCGGTGCTGCCAGCAGAAGGACCTGGGGAGGCAAGAGGAAAGGGAAGGGTGAGGTGAGGAGTGTTTTGGTGGGAATGATGGGTGATAATGTGTGAAGGAATCCCACCACTCGCTCTGTCCATGACTGTCTGCTAGGAAGTGTCACTGTGGGCTTGTTTTATGTTTGCTTATTGATGCTGTCAGAAAGGGGTATAAAAAAGTGGGTGATCCTCCTGTGGGAGGGCCGGCTACCCTTACCTGTAAAGCCCAAAGTACTGCGTGACGCATTCCCCCTCCACGGCGCAGGGGAGGTGGAAGCTGCGGTCGCAGCCCTCCTGGCAGCAGGTGATGGCGGCCCCGCTCTCGCCACAGACGAAGCAGCGCTGGAAAGAGCAGAGCAGCCCCCATCAGCGGCAGCCTCAGGGCCTCCAGAGCCAGCCCCACGCCTCCGGGCAGGGCGCAGGATGCTGCCCCACTGACGGGTTAGAGCCCGCGGATGCGCCCGGCGCACGAGGCTCCTGTGCTGGGTCTGGGTGGAGGCTCTGTGGAGCTGCTGGGCGCGAGACTTTTGTCCCAGAGCTGCTTGGAAGGGCTGGGATTTCTTTCTTGGGGTCTGGGCTAAGCTCCCACACCGCTCCCGTGGCACCACAGATCTCCCTGAGCTTGTCCAATCCTTACCTGCTGTGATGCCTGCTTGACTGTATGGCGAATATCCCTCAGGGGGAATCCCATCAGGCCCACGTTGTGGGACTCTTTCTGGAAGAGGCTGTTGGCAAAAAACTGCGCAGGAAAGACAAGACAAGGAGGTGATGAGGAGGAGAGCGTGGCCGGGGCTGCCTGTCGGCAAGCTGGAGGGAGCCCCGGGGGCACTCACCAGGCAAAAGAGATGGGCGCAGAGCCCTCGCTTCTGTAGTTTGTACCCGCAGATGTCCGGGTCAGCCTCTGCCCGGCCACACAGCATGCATGCTGGAGGGGAGAGAGCAAACGACAGCGGGAATGAGCAGCTCACCTCTGCAGGGCCGGGGCAAGCGTCCCTGAGGGCTGGCCTTACAGGCACGGGTGTCCCAGCAGCAGGTGCCCACGGCCCAGCCTGGGCCCCGCTGGCTGCGGCACGGAGGGGCCCTGCCCCGGGGCGCTTGGGGAGCTCCTGCCTGCCCCTGCCACCGCTCTCGGCCCCACGCTGAGCGCCCCGACAGCCCCTCTGCTATGCTGCGGGAGGGATGCTTTGCTCTCACCTGGCTCCATCGAGTCGTCGGCCTCCTGCTTCCTCGCAGTCATCTCACCCATCAACAGTGAGTGCTGGGAGAGTCGCTGTCCCCGCAGTGCTGGGGTGTCTCTCCCAAGTGCTCCTCGGCTGACTCTGGGGGAGAAGCAGGGCGCGGGTCAGCTTGCAGCAGAGGCCCAGCGCCCCCCGGCACGGGGCCGCCCTCCTCCCTCGGCAGCCCCGCACGAGCCCCGTCCACCCCTGCCCTCCCCTCACCTCACCAGGTCGCACTGAGGCACAGCCTGAGCCCAGCGATGCTTTATGCAGGCTTGTCCCCCGCGGGTCACAATGGCCACAGTGACATCAGCACCGTTGGCCTGGATGCACCCCAACGACGGGCAGGGACGCCCTCAGGAACGTGCCAGCCCCTCGGAGCCGGCCGCCGCCTCACAGGGGTGGGTGCGAAGTGCCGAGGCGGGGGCCCGAGCCCTCGGCACCCCCGGGAGCGGGGCGGCTGCTCCTGCAGCCAGCGCAGAGCCGAAAGGCAGGTCCCGCGGGGCAGCCGTCGAGGGTGGCACTGTTGGCCGACCGGTGCTGGTCAGGCCGTGCGAGCCCAGGGCTGCAGCCCTGGCCCAGGCTGCGGCTCTGCTCCTGCCCTCGGCATGGGGAGCAGAAGGAAAAGCAGCGGCAGCGCGAGCTGGGGACTCACGGCGCGAACGGCCTGCCTTCCTCCGTGGCAATAAACTGCCTTTCAGAGACAGTGTGAGCCCGTCCTTGGTGGGCAGGGAAAGTGCAAATGGCCCATGGGAGGAACTCATGTCGGAGAAAGTTTGTGGAGGACTGTCTCCTGTGAGAGGGGGACCACGATGGAGAAGGAGGAACAAGTTCCGGACAGTCCCCTCACCGAAGAGAAGAGAAGTGGCAGCGCTGACTGCACCCCCCATTCCCTGCCCCTGCGCCACTGGGGGAGGAGGTAGAGATATCGGGAGCAGAGCTGAGCCCGGGAAGAAGGGAGGGGTGGGTGGAAGGTGTTCTCAAGATGTGGCGATGCCTCTCACTGTCCTACTCTGTTATGTGTTGTTAGTGTCTGTAATAAATGTATGTTTTTTTCTTCTTCCCCTAACGAGTCTGCCTTTTGCTCGTGATCATAAAAGGGGGATTTTTCCCCCATCCCAGTCCTATCTCAAACCCCAAGCCTGGCTCTCTGTCCCTTCTCATTGCCGGAGGGGAAGGGAGAGAGAGCTGCTGCATTGCGGTTGGCTGCGGACCAGGCCTAAACCACGACACCGTCTCGCCACAGGATACAGTGGGGCAGACTCTGCTCTGGCACACCTCCCCCCTCCTTTCTTCCTCCGTTCCCCCACTGGCCTTGGTGTTCACGCAGCTGCGGCAAGTCCTCCTCACAAGTCCCACTCCTCCTCACCAGGTCCCTTCTTAAATGCGTTATCGCAGAGGTGGAGCTGCTTGGCTCGGCCCTGCTGCAGAGGTAGGGCCTGCTTGGAGCCGGGGGAGCTTGGAGAAGCTTCTCAGAGAGGGCCAGCGCTGTCGCCCCCTCCCCTGCTACCAAAAAACCCCACCGCTCCCTCAAAGCCAGGACAAGCTGGTACAGCAGCAACCACGGTGGGCGACAGGAGCTGGAACTGGGGAAGGGCAATGCCCTTTGGCTACTACTGTAGCAGCACCATCTGCA